TATATATATATATATATATATATATAAATAAATTACCAACAACAGGTTTGCTCATTTTAGCTTTAAACTACAGTTTTGCTACTTAGCTACTTTTTTAAGCTACAGGAGGATAATTTGCTGTTATGACCTCTGAAAAGGGAACAGCCAAAAGCAGCAGCAGCATTACCCATTTTAGCTAGTTACACTACATTTAGCTTTTAGCTACTTTTGATAATATCAGCTTTTTACTTGTTTTGCTCATTTTAGCTTTTAGTTACAATTTGCTCATTAAAACTTTTAGCAAAAGCTTTGATTAGCAAAATAGCAGCTAAAAGGTAAAAATAAACAGTAGCTAAATGCAGCATGAATAAATTTCAGAGAACATATTTTGAATGACTTAATCCGATCTTAATGTGTATCTTTGGGGATACTTTGTAAATAAATTTAATTAATAAAAAATAACTAAAAGTCATAGTATTATACTTTATAGAAATAAACTTTTGACATTAAAAAAGCACAAGTTTGCAGTAGTTGAACTCAACAAAACGTACAAAAAAAAACAAAAAAAAACTATAAACAGGGAAACAACATGCACTACTGGTTCATACCTTCTGTAGTCCAAGTATTGATAACTCATTGATTTATGCAGTAAAACAAAATATACAGTTGTGTTTATTTACCTAGCAAGAAACAAGTTTCACGAGGCATTTAATGTCCAGTAAAAATGTCGGCCTAAAAATTTAATCGAAAAGTTGAGTTTATTTACAAAGCGTGTTTAAAACCTCTACTTTTTCAAAACTTCTTACGCGAAATGGAACAAAATAACATCGTAATGTGTGCAATAATCCTGTGAAATATTATTTTTAGTTGGCAGAATCTAAGTTTGCAGTTCGTCTCGCTATCTGCGCGATTTTTTTCCAATGGAATCCCAAATATCGTACTGCAATGAACGCATCATCGCTTGATCGCGTCCCGTTGGAGGACAGTCTGTAAACTCTGCAGCGAAAAAAAAAAAAAAAAAACCTCCCAGGAATTACGCTCTGCCATTTTGAGTAAAACCCGGGGCCGACAGCGGAGTTTGGACGTGTCCGTCAAGCAGCCGCGGTCATGGCCTGATTTAAAGAGCCGCCACCAGGATTTGGTGAGTATTTCTCAGTTTTTGGTTGCGTTCAGGTTCCTGTTTGTGATAGTTGAGTTGACGTTAACGCCGTGTTGGTGCGTTTGAGGACGCGGTTGACTCGGTTTGTTGTGTTTTGGCTCAGTCGCCGTAAAAGTTGTCATCTTCACTTTGTGTTTGTTTATCAGAACAGCAGAACAAAAAGTGATGTCCCGGACTGGGCCCCCGTCTGTCCGGGTCATCATGGCCTCTGTTGTGGGTGACAGCACGCTTGGACTGTTTTTGTTTTGATAGTTATTTTTTTTTTTTTAGTTTGAGGCTGAGATTTATGGAACTTCTGGACACAACTTACTTGCTCAAATAAATGAAAGTCATTGAGAAATACGAGTCTTTATAACACCAGTAACTTTTAAAGAAAGTGAGATGAAGCAACACAAAACAATTTAGAAATGATGTTATGGTCTGTGCGTGTCTGTTAGCAAAATATCTCATGAACCACCGGGTGAATTTTAATAAAACCTACAGAAATAATTCATTGGATGTACATATCCAACTGAATAATTGTTGGAGCCAATCTGATTAAAGATGGCTGCCACAGCCAGCTGACTTTAAAGCACACCAAAATAGCTATTACTGATTCATTTTTGCAGATGTTGACCTAAAATTTGGCATGGTAGTAGCTGAGACTTATCCCCAACGCATATTATGAGCACTAAGAAAAGTCTCACAAAATATTTGTTTAGTTGGCCAACAAATGTCAAACTAAACGAATAATGAAATATTCAGTGCATGCGCATCTGCAATCCAGTCGATCCATTTTGACAGCAAATTAACGTTATCAAACACAAAATGGCTGGAACTCGGCCCGTTTTGCAGACACTGAGCTCAGCTTTGGTGTGGTAGTAGCTGAGAGTCGTTCACAACGAACACTTTAAGCGCTCACAGACCTTGCAGTGCTGCATGAGGTTATGCATACCATCTTTTACGAAGTGTATCCACAACAGTTATACCTCCATCATTTCTCTTCATAAGGCAGGGCTATTCAATTGGCGGGCCGGGGGCCAAATCAGGCCCACGGGTGTGCTCAGTTCGGCCCTCCGATGAGTTCATTTTTAGCCTCCTGACACCCAGGGTTATATGGAAACATTTATTTATTTTTTTTTTTTTTTTACAGAGAGAACTGCATATCATAGAAAGCTGACAACTTGTTTGCAGCGTAGTCGGGACCTTCTGATCCCAAATCGCACGGAAAAATATAAAATGCACAAATAAAACTACTGCCTCTATTTTAAAATGTTTTTGTGCTTTCCGTTTGTCAGTTTTCACCGTGAACAACTAACGTTCAGCATCGTAATTAATGACCACGAATCACCTCGGATGTTATTTTATTCAGATAGTTTCAGCTTTATAATTCTCATTAGTTTTCAATGAGTTCCTCTAATTTCCTAAATATTTTATTCCTCCTCCTCTTTTTTTTTTTTTTTTTTTTACTTTTCCAGACATTCTTCTCTGGGTCTGAACTAATCTTTCCACTCGGAGCAGGAAATGCTGGATTTAACGTATCCCACTAATAACATTTCTGCAGTGCTGGATCTGCGAGTGGACAGAAACGGCAGGGACTGAACTGTCCGTCCTGTTTTGATGGGAGGGGCGTCAGTTTGTGGCAGCCTGGGGGTGTGGGTCATCACATTTTCAGCTCTGATCACTGTGGTCGCAGCAGAAGGACCCGCTTCTCTCGAATGAAACTGAATCATCTTTCATGTTCTGGGATCGTTTTTTAAAATTTGCTTAGAGAAACTAGTCCTATCGATGGCACGTGCGTGGACAGGAAACGTGAGGACGGTCCAACAGGAACTTGTCTCGTGTCACCAGGAAGCATGTGTTCGCCAAACACTTAATTTTTTTAATTGACTCTGCAACTTTTGAAATGATCCCTCAATCTTCACTTGAACTCGGATTATAAAAAACTCTGGACCAGTTTTTGCTACAGTCAGATAGTTTTTTTTTTTCTCGCGTTCTCCGTCGTTTTTAAGTTGCGAGATTAACAGGACTCATCCGCGCGGCGTGTCGGATGTTTTGCAGTCTTTGACATTTAATCTGTGAAGCTTTGTCTAATTTTATTTAATAAATTATCAGAGTTTTGTGGCATTTTTTTTAAATTGGACTTTTGAACAGTTCTTGACATCTGACGTTTTACTTTATTACCTATAACCTTTTACTCATTTTTTGCTACGTAAGTCAAGTCAAATTTATTTATAAAGCACATTTAAAACAGCAGCTGTTACCAAAGTGCTTAACAATACGACCAAGGCTGCAAATAAAAAAACAAGATGTCATTAAATACATCGAAACAAAAAAACCAAATAGTAAATCACGCTGTGTTGAACGTCCGTGAATACAGGTGAGTTTTTAGCAGAGATTTAAAAGCAGCGAGTGAAGTTGCGTGTCTAATGAGTTTCGGGTCAATGACTGGAAATCGATCTCCTCTGAGCTTCAACCTGGTTTTTGGTGCAACCGAAAGCAGCTGATCAGATGATCTCTGCGCCTGAGAAAGAGCATATGGTTGAAGTAGGTCAGAGAGGAATGAGGGTGCAAGGCCGGTAATGTGAACAGGAGAATTTTAAAATCTATTCTGACACGGAGCCAGAGAAGGGAGGACAAAACTGGTGAAATATAATCAAATCTATAAGTTCCTGTTAAGAGCCGAGCTGCAGCATTTTGGACGAGCTATTGACGTGAAAGTGACACCTGACTGACCCCAACATAAAGTGCGTTACAGTAGTCCTGTCACGATAACAAATTCTGCTGGGCGATTAATTGTCTCGGAAATTATTGCGATAAACGATAATGTTGTTTGAAATTTGACATTAGTAATTATTGTGAAATTTAAAAAGAAACGTTTAATTTGTTTTGCATGTAGTACCTTTTTTCGACCACCGGATGGCAGTATAAGGCTGTTTGAACTGAAGGACGGAAAGTGAGGGAGCAAGCAGCGTGTCTCTTTATGACATGGGCCGTCTCGCGTCGGTTCTCAAAATGGCGCACGCTCTGTGTGGTTTGAGCTCTTTAGCATAGCATTTGTCACACAAAGCCTGTAAAAAAAAAAAATCAGTAAACAAGTTCTCAGCTTCTTTTTGCAGAGAAAAACATTTTACACGAAGGCACGGGTTTCAACGGTGAATTTTGGAGCTTGTACAAGACGGAGGTTTTTTCCTGAGGTCGGCCTGTTAGCTTAGCTTCTCAGCTTAGCTGCTTTTAACGATCCTTGGTCCTTTTAAATCGAAGCTTAAGACTTTTTTATTCCAACAGGATTTTAGTACTTAAAATATGTGGTGACATTTCTGGTTTTCTTTTTGTTGTTTTGTTGTTTGTTATTGCTTTTAACTTGTTGTCATTTTAATTGCTGTTTTTGTTTATCACTTTGGTCACCATCACCCTGGTTGTGTAAAGCGCCATAGAAATAAATAAATGAAATGAAATGAAATGGTCCAAAAACGCAATTTTGAACGGTTAAAACATTTTTTTAAAGAGAAAGGGAGTGGTCAGTGAGTTGAGCTTTTTGTCATCCAGTGTCTTCAGAAAAAAGAGAGAGAGACACGAAGAAACAATAAAGTCGATAAATGAAAATGAGGTTGATAATTTTCATTTATCATGCGATTAATTGATTTAGTTTATCGCAACAGGCCCACGTTGCAGTAGTCTAGCCGAGTTGTAACGTATGCACGGACTAGTTTGTCAAGGTCAGATCTGGTCAGCACAAACTTAAGCTTAGCTATCTGCCTTAATTGGAAGAAGCCAACCATGCCTTGATGTCATCAAGACATTTTAACAGAGGGCGAATGGAGCTGGAACTGTCGGGTTTTAATGGCAGAGAAATCTGACAATCATCAGCATAACAATGAAATGAAAGGCCATTTTTCCTCAATATAAATAGATTACCACTAATTAATTAATTACTTTTTCTGGCAATCTTTTCAAAAATCTATTATTATAATAAGCCTAATTTTATTGTGTGGGTGTGTTTTTTTTCTTTCCCAGCCACTCAGTAAAGTTGACAGGAAGTGATAGGCAGACATATCGGGCTGTTTGACCCATAGATCTGATCCCACATGTGATGAGCTGACATTAAGATAATATTTGGTGTCACTTCACACAGCTGAATGGTATTTCCTGTGGGTAGAGCTGCTTCTCTCTCGAGGAATGTGTGCTTTTGTCCTCTGTAGAGTTCAGCAACGTCCCGTTTCTATATGGAGCCCAGAAAGAGACAGCCAGCTGGAAATGGGACTGTGGGTGATCTTTACCGTCCCATACCTCATCAAAGAACTCATCTTTCTTCTCCAATCACAGCTGACGGCTTCACTAAGTCGGAGAGGCGGGACGGACTTGTTATGAAACACGTCATTTTTTGTCATTTTCTCAACGCAAGATGATTTTAGTTTAAAACACGGGCGTGGAAGGTGGGGAGCAATATGCATTCCTTCAAGAACTGATGGTCTGAGTCAGATTTTTAAGGGAGGAGGGAGGCTGTAATTGAGGCTTTCAGCTGCTTTTTTTAACGTGAGATGAAACTTCAGCAGTTTAGATGTGGCTTCTGTGTCTCTGCGGGGTCGGAGCTGACGTTTCTGAGAGCGCAGCTGCCAGCTCATCAGAAGGCCGACTGTGATTGAGGAACAGGGAAATTAACTGCAAGACCGCTGTAAGAACTGCAGCCTGTTTACTCTGCTAACTGCTGTTAAATTGGCCTCGTGATTAAAATCTCATATTAAGTTTGCTCCACGAGGACGCCAATCACCCTGAAGCTTTGGCGTACACATTAAGTCAGCTTTACTATTTAGAGTTTTGTTCCTTACTAGCTGCTGTGACAGATATAAAGCTGGGTAAAGATCCTGGATTTTTGCTGCAAAGGCTAAAAATTCTCTCAGATGTGTTTTGGAGAAAGTTCACTATTAAATATTTATGGCCGGCCACTGAAAGGCATGTGTGTGTTTGTTACCAAGACAGACTGGACATATTTTAATGAACCCTGCAGCAAATAATTATTGGTTGTAGAACTACATGGTCAACCTTAGACAACACAAACATTTTTTTTTACTCAGTTAATTTTGCATGTTATGTTAAAATTTGTTAAAGAGTAAAATCAGATAAGAAAAGCAAATGGTGGAAGCTGAAGAAAGAAGAATGTTGTGAGAAATTCAGAGAGGAGCTGTTAAAGGGTCTGGGTGGTAAGAAAGAGCTGTATACTAAAATTTGTGCTAAAATTTGTTGCGGTTGTAGCCGAGATTGATTCACAGCACATTCTCTCTTTCGCCTTTGACAAAGACGGTCGCTCTTACCCTCCCTCCTGCTTTTTTTGCTCTCTTGTCCTGTCAGCCTCAGAGCCTCTCTACACATCTTATGAATGGAAAATTATTATAGATTTGGTCAGCTGGTCCCTCAACGCAATTGATAACATTTTTTTCCACCGGACGACAGGGTGCTGGAGAGCCCTCATGCCCTGAACGGACCCATGCAGCTGGGTATGTGATTGATTCCTGGGGTGAGTAGAAGATGGTGTGCCTATCTGTGCTGTCCGTGGAGGACGTAGAAGATAAATGGAAATGGACTGCACTTATATAGCGCATTTCTATCTTGTCAAGACACTCAAAGCGCTTTACAACACAATCTGTGCCCTCATTTACCCATTCATACAACACTCTACTAGATCTCTACAAAGCTAATTGAACAAATCATTCTAAAGAGACTAATCAGTGATTTATCACATTCATACACCGATGGGACACACATCGGACGCAATGAGGGGTTCATTGTCTTGGCCAGGAAAACTTCGGCATGTGACGGCAGGTGGAGTCGAATCCCCAACTCTTGCATTGGAGGACGACTGCGCTAACCACTGAGCCACAGCCGCCCAAGATGAGTACATTATTGGATTTATGAGAACAGGGTTTCTGCTTTTTGGAAGTGGTAGATACCTTGGATATCGACAAATTAGTAAGATGTCGGCATCAGTTTTGGCCATGGTAAAGCTGCCAGCTATATGTGAATGATTAATTTGTTCCTTGAGCTCTCAGACTCGTATGATTACCAAACTCAACTACAAGCTGGATGCGATTCTGAGAATCGTAGGCCACTTACGGCTCCTGGAACTCGCCAGCATTAAGGATTCAGTCTTGGAGAATGCTAAATCGAGCATGGACCGGGTGGAATGTCCACTAATTCTGTCTGTTTGGATTCACCATTGAGTGTACCAGCAGAACTTGAAGGCAGACAGAAAACAGAGTGTGGCGGCCAAACAATTGTTGCTCATCTTAACTGGTACAGGCTATAGAGAGCACATCACGCCAGTTTTGGCCTCCCTGCACTGGCTACCCATTCACCTTGGGATCCATTTCAAAATTCTCATGTATGTTTTTAAATCACTGAACAGTTCCGCCCCATCCTATCTCACTGATCTTCTGCAGCCATATGTCCCACCGCGCTCTCTGAGGTCAGCAGACCAGATGCTTCTCTCAGTCCCAGAAACCCGTCGTAAGCTCAGAGGTGACAGGGCTTTCTCTGTTGCAGGTCCACGACTGTGGAATGAGTTGCCACTGAGTGTCCGGCAGGCTCCCACACTCTCAGTCTTTAAGTCTCGCTTGAAGACCCACTTCTATTCGCTTGCCTTTAACACGGTGTGATTTGTTTTGGTCCGGTCTGTTCTCTACTCTGTTGGCCATTTTAGTTAGCTTCTGCTGCTATTTGTATCTGTATTTCTATTTTATGTTTTCCTGTCCGCTGTGCATGTTTGTGTTCTTTTGTACATCACTTTGGTTGGCCTTGTTGCTGTTTTAAGTGCTATATAAATAAATTGGTATGGTATGGTATGGTATGGTATCTGAATTTGGCCTCCCCACTGGCCTTGGACAGGCCAACTTATCTCATATTGCTCCTGGAGGATACGTAAACTAGAAGCTTTTAGCTGTTTTAAATGTGCTATATCTGACTTGACTTGACATCTGTGTTGCCCACCTGCTAGCTTAGTGCCATGTTGATGCCATTTTATTCGATGACGGGATGGGGGGGGGGGGGGGGGGCGGAGTCACGTGCGTGTTGTTCACCCGCTAGCTTAGAGCTAGATTGCTACTGGTAATTGTCATCCGGCAGGCGGGGAGCGGGTAGCGGAGCGGTACGTCATCAGTAACATTTTTGCTAGCGTGTTTGTATCGCGCTACATAAATACTGACAGTTGTCGATGGGGTGTGGGGGTTGGTGGTGAGTGTATTTTGGTAGACAGGGCGCTCGGTTCCGTTGATGGGGCGGGGCGCCCCGCTTATATAATGATAGGAAAAACACTGTAGTTTAACTCACCTTTTTTTTTTTTTGAACAGGGCGGGAAGGTCTTTGGACTGAAGGAGCAGTTTGTTTGGACTCCTCAGCCATGTGTTCCACAAATCCTTCAAACTGGGTCACTTTTGACGATGACATCACACCCATCTCGTCGCCCCAGAAGCCCCCGCAGTCACCAGATTTGATCAAAACATCATTACCTCGGCCCAACGGCATGAAGCTAGTGTTTCCTCCAATCAAAGATGCATCCTGGAGCTTAGGTGGGTCCCTGGAATCTCCTCAGAGCCACTCGAGTGGAAAAGCTGCTGGGCTGCGTAAATCCTCTTTGTGCACTTCTGGGACTGGAACTCCTAGCACCGCACATCCGCTTTACTCCAAGTGTGAAAAGAATGCCTTCTTACGGAGTTTCTCCAGCTCGTCAGGCATCTCGATTCCTTCACCAGCACTAGAAACTCCAAGTCCTGCCTCAGAAGGATTGAGCCCATTCCGTTCCTACCAGAAGAACTCTGGGCACTTTAACCCCTTCTGGGATGATTCCAGAGATGGTACAGATGTCTGCAACTCATCCTCCGACTCGGATACAGACTCAAACAACAGTCTGCCACGTTTCTTTATTCGGACCAAAGATGGCAGCGAACCTCCACGCGACCAATTCCAGAACTCTTTCTCTTTTGTTTGCAACAAACTGGGTGATTTGCAAACAGGGGTGGCTAATGAAACAGAGGCACAGAAAGATCAGGAGAGGCGTCAAAGCTGCAGAAACGAGGTGTTGGGGGAAGGTTTAACTCAGTTTGTTCCTCGAGACCTGTTTCGTAGCCAGAAAAGAGACGGCTGGCCCGTCATGCTCAGGATTCCTGAAAAAAAGAACCGCATGTCCTCTCGCCAATGGGGGCCAATCTATCTCCGCTTGTTACCTGGAGGCGTACTGCAAATGTACTATGAGAAGGGCTTGGAGAAGCCGTTTAAAGAGTTCCAACTTCTCCCTCAGTGCAGGCTCTCAGATCTCAAGGTTGAGAGCTACAGCGAGCCCCGAAAAGTCCTCACGGTCAAGGTGGAGCATTTCTCCTACACAGAAAAGAAACGCTTCCACCCAAAGCTGGAGGTGAGTCACGAGGCAGAGGTAGAGCAGCTACTGAAGTTTGGCTCCACGGTGTCCAGCGACATGGAGGACCTGGTCGTCTCTATGGAGGAGGAGATCTTCAAGCTGTGCCCACCTCACCAGCAGAGGCGGCACTACGAGGAGCAGGAGCTGTCGCTGCAGATCACTGATCACATCTGGACACAGCTGGACACGTCAGGGGAAGTCAAAGAACGAGTCGCCTTTACTCAGATCCACTGTCTGGCGTTCCTGAATGAACAGGGGGACTGTTTTCTCGCTCTTAACGATCTTGGGCTGCTGCACTCTGACTCCAGCTACGGGTCTGAAGAGGATGGTGACCTCTGGATGGAGATCGCTGACTGCCATTTCCACAAATGCGTTAACGGGACCGAGTTTCAGAGGTCCCGACTTGTAAAGTTCTCACCTCCTGACGCATGCAGAGTGGAGCTGATGCGGTACAAAACATCAGTCTTCGGTTGCACTGAGATTCCCTTCTCCATTAAAGCTGTGGTCACGGTTCAGGGCGCCTATGTGGAGCTGCAGGCCTTCCTCAACATGTCGGCCACCTTTCTTTCCTCCCTCAACCTTTCAGACATCCACTACCCGCTGTGTGAGAACGTAGTGATCCGTGTACCCGTGCCGGCTGACTGGGTCAAAGTGACGCAGACTGTGGCCTTGCTCCGGCAGAGATCACTGAAAGCCCGGATGAACAGGAAACCCTGCCTGGGCTCCATCAGCGCCATAGATTCACAGCCGGTCATGCAGGTGTCAATTGGAGCTGTCAAGTACGAGAGCGTTTATTCAGCCATCGTGTGGAGGATCGACCGACTGCCTGCAAAGAACACAGGTAATGCGTGCTGAGCTTGAAAACGTAACATGCAAACATCTTGATATGCACTCAATAATTCAGGTAAATTAATCGAACAAGGTTGTTGTTGAGCATGCATGAGGACATAACATGTAAACTGAGAAAACACTCATACACATAACATTTCAGAAAACTGAAGACTTCACAAAGCAGAAAACTCAAAACGGACAATACAAAAAAAACAAAACTTTTTTTTTCTCTTTTCTACAGCAGTGGATCATCCCCATTCGTTCTCCTGCAAACTGGAGCTGGGATCAGATCAGGAGATCCCCAACGACTGGTACCCTTTTGTCACGATGGAATGTGAAATCATGGGAGCAGTTGTGTCGCAGACCAAGGTGAAATCCTTTGGCACCGTGAACGACATCCAGCCGCAGAAACACATGACCAGTTGGACACGCTATCATTGTCAGGTGAGACATGTCATAGAGCTCTCGTCTCACTGGGCTTCGACAGCTGGAGACTAGTTGGCGACTCAAAATTGGGAGAAAACCGTCAAATGTTTGGATGCAGTCTTACCGACACGTGAGCCTGCAGATGCATTTTGCATGGCCAATTCTATAAATTTTCTTGAGAGTGTGAATGCGGATCATTATCTAGAGAAATTGCATTTCCTGCGAAAATGCAGTGTGAACGCTTATTGCAGAAGAACTTGCTGAAAAACAACTGAAATTAGCTAAAATACATGGTGAAATGTAGCTGAAATGGTAGAACAAGCCTAAATTAGCAGAAGAAAGCAGAAAGAACAGATTTGCTGAATTTGGTTTAAATAAGCAGAAATTAGGAAATTAGCTTAAAAAAGCTGAAATTAGCAAAAAAATAAAAATTGATGAAAAGTAGCTGAAAGGCAAAAAATGCTTTACCAGAAGCAAGTGGAAAGAGCTGGAATGAGCTAAAAAATGTGAAATTAGCTGAAAAAGCTAAAATTAGCATCAAAATAACCAAATAACAGGTGAAAGAGCAGAAAAAAGCTGAAAAGGAGCATTGCAAGCTGAAATAACAAAGAAATTAATTGGGCTGAAAGTAGCAGAAATTGCCACAAAAAAACGACTATATCTGAAAACAGCTGAAATTAGCTAAAAATGCCAAAATGTTAGCTGAAAAGGTAGAACAAGCTTAAATTAGTTGAAGAAAGCTGAAAGAATGTTTGCCCTATTAGGTTGAAAGAAGCAGAAATGAGTACAAAATGGAAATGATCTGAAACCAGCTGAAAAGTAGCTAAAAAGGTAGAAAAAATATTAAATTAGCAGAAGGAAGTAGAGAGAGGACATTTTTGCTGAATTTGGCTGAAAATGTTTAAATGAGTGCAACAAATCTGGAATTAGCTGAAAAACTAAAAGTAAAATAAAACAGCTAAATAGTAGCTGAAATAGTAGAAAAAACTTTAAACTTGTAGAAATGAGCTGAAAGGACCATAACAAGCTGAAATTAGCAGAAAGAACTTAGAAGAAGCATATAAATGTTGTAGTTAGCAGAAAGCACCTGAAAGGAGCAAAAACAAGCTGAGAGAACAACTGAAATTAGCTGAAAATGGCTAGAAAAAAAGTGTAAATTTTCACAAGGAAGCTGAAAGAAGCTGAAGAAGAACAAAATGTGAAAGGAGCAATAAAAGGTTGTAAACAGTTCTAAAGATCTGAAGGATGTAAAATGAGCTCAGTTCATTTTCTATGAGGAAAAAAATGGCAGAAAAGGCTAAATATTTCAAAAAGTTAAGTTGCACCGATACCAAAAATCATAGCAGGATTTTTCTGAACGAGCTGAATGTTTTGATTTATGATTTGTTGAAATAGCTTGAAAATTGTGGAACGGGAAAGATGCAGGAAAAAAAACTTACGGAAGAAAAATGGATCACAATAGTGGGAATGCAGATCACGAACTAGTATCAGCCCAGTGAGATACTACCTGAAGTCAAGCCACACTGGAATCTTGATACTTGAAGCTGATTTAGCTAAAATTGCCATATTTTTCTTTTTTTTTTATAGGTGGAAGTGGAGAAGAAGTGGATTGAAACAGAGTCACAGAGGCAGGCTGGTTGTATGACACAGTGATGACATAAACCTCATCATCCGTCATCTTAAAGATGGATGGGAGAAGACAAAAACAAACAAGAGCGATGAGGGACTTTGTGCTTCTTTTTTGTTTTGCAGTCAGATTATTCTCATTATCCATAACTTGGTAGTATTTAAACAAACGTTGCAGCCTAACACTGAGACTGAATATTATTAGATTTATTTAGCAGTTTAATAGTCTTTTTGCCTAGCACTTTACATTGAATAGATTTATTAATTATAAAATGCCAGTTTATACTACTGTTGGTGTGTATATATAAGCTTGTGTTCGCATCATCTGCACTGCCCTTTTGAATGATTTCCAGTCTTAATAAATTCAAGCCAAATGGAAGATGTAAGCTGTACAACCTCAATATTTACCTGTTTAAATAGAATTAATGTGTAGCAACAGTTAGGGTCAGACCTTTTACTTCTTCAGTGTAGTTTGAAATTAATGAACTGATTTAGGTCTCAACTTTATTACGTTTGTGCTAAATTCTAAATCAGCTTGCAGTCCAAGTAAACCCAACTTTAAAGCAGTTTTTGAAAGAGTTTTAGTGCTGATTCAGCTGCACATACTTTAATGTCTTAATGTAACTGCTCAACTTTACACATGGTGGTACATACATTTCTATTATTTCTATAAAATTTCTATTATTTTTGCAACTCATCTTCATAATCCGTTGGTTCTGGATCAGAGCTGTTTTGTGGAGAACTGTTTTTTTATTTTATTTATGCAAATCAAATCTTTATTATGAGGTTTTTCTTAATCTGGGTTGGGTTTAATAATAAGTCTATAAAAAGTGGTGGTAGGGCTTCAGTGAGAACTTTTCTGTACGAGGTACCTGGCTTAAGCTGGATATTATGCACATCAAGAGTAAAGAAATGAATAAAACTTAAATGACTTGATCTTTTTTTTTAAGTTCTTCATTAGAATAAAACAAAGGTTTCAAATTTCCTGTTATCACTTTGGCTTCTGGCGAGCTAAGAACAAATAATGAGGTTAAATCTATTCGTTGGTTTGTTGAGAAAGTGGTTGTGACTAACCAAGCTCTTACAAATTGCATGTAATTTTCAGGAGTCGCCCTCTAAGGGTGCTGCATGTGGCCATAAAGGTGGCCCTAAGGTGTAAATGAACATTTGAACGTTTTTTTTTCAAATGCGATTCCGTTTTTTTCAAATGTGATTCCGGCCACAATTGTCTTTTTGTAGCCATCAGAAAGCTTCGGAGAAGATTCAGATTGGACATTTGACCACTTTATCTTCAAAGAATTGATGAAGCTAATTTAACTTGAAGCATAATCTGCACATTTTAAATATTCTTAAGGTAAAGGCTTTGAGAAGGCAACACCAGAAGCTTAATGTTCGTCTGTTTTATACATTAAGAAACCAGTTTTTGTTGCATTTTAGGTTTTTAGGCTCATTGTCTTGTTGGAACACCCAATCCAGTACAGCATCATACTACCTCCACCGTGCTTGTCATTTGCCAATGCTCTTCAGTTTGAAAGCCTCATCTTGACTCCTCCAAACACATAATCTTGTCTCTACGGCCAAAAAGCTCAATCTTTGTCTCAGCAGACCTTAAATCTTCTCTCCAGAAGACATTAGGTTTGTCCAGGTGGGCAGCTGCAAATATCAGGCAGCTTGAATTGATGCTTTTGGAGAAGGCTCAGTTCATGTTTTGATGGTTTCTGGGTTGTTCCTGAACAAACTAACCAGTTTACTTTCACCCGAGGATGACCAGTGAGTACTAGTTAACCCAATTAGTGCTTTTAAGATTAGACAAAACTAATAAAGACAATGTATGTTTGCTTTCTTGTAAATTGATAGAAGTCCATCCAGGTCCACACTCCAGTTGGAGATGGTAATGCACCAAAGTGTTTCTTGTTAAATACCATTAAACAAGAAAAAATAATAACTTAACATCTATCATCAAAGATGCATGATCATTTAATCTGGAAAACAATGGTTTAAATCAATCATTAAAAGCTTCACATGAACACAACACAGATAATACCCATGAGTGTATATAAACTTTTGACCACAATATGCACTCTCCACATAAAAAGCAACAAAAAGAGATGCTGGTGAAGACCACTTATAAGACATGAGGGCAGCAAAAGATTCAGAACAAGATTAAAGTGGTCAAACGTGACCACAAAGAGATGCAAGCTGCTTGAACTGACACAAATCATCCATAAAGAAACAACGAAGACCACAGAGTTACATCAACACACTGGCTGCATATTATCTGTGTAAATATGTCTGTGGGGAGCCACTTCTATTACTCAAACACCCACAACAAATGAAATTGTGATGTTTTTGGCTGTTCTATTATTTTTTTTATTATATGGGGGCTTTTACATTTCTCTGCCCTGGGCCCTGGTTTTTCGCCCTCCGCCCCTGGCCTCAGCTCCTCCTCTCATAAATTAATAATTTCTGACACCTGTGTTCATTTAAAGGCCATGAGGTGCGTATATTGAGTTTTCAGTTACAGCCCATCATTATCGTCTCTTCCTCACCGTTAACCTGAAGGATGTTGGCGAACTCGAGCCCAGTGGTGAGTTATCGTACTTTAACAGCTGCTTCTAATGGCAAAATGATTGTTAGCCGTTTCCCCAAAGAACGAGCTGCGTTTAAAGAACTCTTTAAAACAAAAGTGAATATGTTTTTGTTCCTGAGATGTTTTTATGGTCTAAAATTGACAACAAAACCCAGTCGTCTAAATAACCTGTTATTTGAGTGATTTAAGTAGTGGTATAATCTACATTTAATTTGTTTAATCTTTAAAAACCTGAGAATAAAAGCACCCTATGGAAAAGTTTGTTAAATATGGAAATGATTCACATTATGTCACCTGGGTTACTTATCGCACACAAAAAAGCAAAATTATAATTTGGTAAAATCCTAGAAGTAAAGAAACATGACTAATGCCTTTTTTTTAGAATGTATGTTTTTTTTTTTTTTTTTAATGTTTTAACATTTTATACTTTATTCTTTATTTGATGTATGTTTAGTATAAAACCATGACTAGACTTTTTTTTTTTTTTTTTTTTTTTACAAAAAAAAAGCTGCAAAAATTTAACATCAAGTGGATTTAGGAGAATTTTATTTATTTATTCTTTTGGAAGTCGTATGTTTTAAAAATAGCAAATTATTTAAAAGTTGATTTCTACCAAAATTTGTAGTTTTATTTTCTTTTATCAACATCACAAAAGAAATTGAGTTTTTTATTTATTTAAACTTCTTTCAAACAAATTTTACAGGCATTTAAGCTGACATGTATCTTTAAAGTTGATTTTTGGAATTGTATAACTATTGATATATTTTAATGATATATTAATAGTCTGCCAACAACGGACAAAGTTCGAGTGCAAAGTTGAAGTATATTACATTTTTGTATTTTAGGTGGAAAAAAACTGGAGTTTATGTAACAAATAATGCAAATTATAGATGTTTTTATGCCATTTCCTTTTTTATTTATGGTTTTCATTGTCTCTTCCAGGTTTGATTAACCATTTTTTTTACAAAAAATTACATTAATAATTTTTTTTTTCTAATGCTAATAATATATTTTAGGCCAAACTGTACTTGTCCATCATCGATGATGTGATTGAGAACATGAAGGAGCTCTTCCAGGATGAAGGGCTTGAAGACCGAGTCCTGGACGGCCTGAGACAGGTGAGGGGTTTGGATCCGACTCTGCTGCAAAACGCTGGAGTTCAGTCACGTTTCCAGACAGAAAATAAAATCACCACACAAGAGACACCGATCTTTTGTCTGCAGCTCTGGGAGTCAAAGTTGATGCAGTCGAAGGCGATGGAGGACTTCAGGAACAACAATACGAACTCCTCCAACTTTACGCTCCAGCTTCCTCCCAACTACAAACGAATAGATCAGGAAGCTACAGGTAACGACACCTGCTGCTGTTTGGTCAATCCAAATAATTTCCACAGTGATTTAACGCCTCTTGTGTTTGGTTGTTTCTCTGCCCTCAGCCTCAGTTGTGATCCCCACAAGTCAGAACAACAACAGCAGCTTATCATCCAAGGCAAGTGTAAAGGTTTACAGCAGTTTTCTGCACTGATTTTTATTTATTTTTTAATCCACCTATTTTCTTTGCAAGCTTTTCCATGCAAGGTTACAGGAAGCTCATTTCCAGCTGTTTTTATCACAATGGAGAGGATTGGGGTGATTTTTAACCTCATTTTAACCTTCAAATTTGAAATCGGCACCCCGAAAATAATAATGATGATAATAAAAAAAACCATGATTCGGATTTTGCAACGTCTCCTTCTCACCATAACCTTCAGCACTGGCTCCCCTCAGGGCTGTGTGTTGAGCCCCCCTCCTGTTCACTCTTTATCTCCAGAGTGAACAGGCGTAACATCTCACTCTTCTGAAAAGATCACATGAATATTTATGAAGTCCAAGCTGTGATGTCAGCTTGGATTTGGCAGCATGACAGCTCAGTGCACTGTTGCCTCACAGCAAGAAGGTCCTGGGTTCAATCCCCTGTTGTACCTGGGGTCCTCCTGTGTGAAGTTTGCATGTTCTTCTCGTGCTTGCGTGGGTTTTCTCTGGGTACTTCGGTTTCCTCCTGCAGACTAAAAACATGCATGTTAGACTGTCTTCAGGCCCAGGCCTCCCTTGCAAAAGAGATTTGATCTCTATGGGATTTGCCTAGTTAAATACAAGTTAATAATAATGATGGAGTTACAGATGTTCACTTTAATAAGCCAATTTTTTTTAAACAATATAAGTCAGTGCATTTTTCTGTCAAATGTGTATATATATATCTTTATTATATAGAACAGTGCAGATGCACTTGCTACGTTTTCCCTCCCTGCTTCGCTGGCGTACCCTGTGCAGATACCAGCTGGAGTTACACTTCAAACAGCTTCAGGTATTCAACTTTGATTTTTATTTGATTTTATGTGGGGGGTGAAAAAAAAAATCACTCTTCTGTTTCCAGGTCAGCTGTACAAAGTCAATGTTCCTGTTGTGGTGACCCAAGCTCCAGGAGGGCAGCAGCCTGCACCCCATCCCACCTGCAGAGCTGCTGAGCAGAGAGCGTCTGCCTCTCAGCCTGCAGCTGCTCCACCAGAGTCCTCTCTTCCTGCTTCCTGTCTACCTCTGAGGCAGGAAAGCAGCTTTTTCCAGTGCCCTTACGGGCCTGAGGCTCCACTGGGAGACAACGAGCCGACGCCACAACCCGAGCACGTGAACATCGATGCGACTGCTTCACCCGTCACCCAACTGTTAAACTTCCAGATCAGTGCGGTGGAGGCTCTGACTCAGACGGCACAGAGCAAAGACATCGATGAAATCCTGAAAGAAGTGATTGAGGAGGAGAGGGTGAAAGCTGGCAGGGCGAGGACTTTATCTGCTGGGAACACTCACCATCAGGCTGGAGCTGAGGTAGTGAGTCGCCCAAACATTTTCTGAAATTTGACCAATTCTAAACTTAAATCTGGAGTCCACCTCTAACAATGGAGTGCCGTTTGTAAAGTTACACAGTAGAAAATTAACAGCAATATTCTGGTTTATTTAGCCTTTCATAAGAATAATAATAAAAAAATATATATTTTCACGATGTTATTCGTACATTTATAAATGTCATAGTTCAGTAACTACTTAATTTCCAAGCTAAATATGTAATTTCCAAAATATTTAATTTGCTAACAAAGTATTTAGGTCTGACATAAATGCTCAACTTGCTTGCTAATATTTATACTGCAAGTATTTTGTAAACTAAATATTTAGCTTGTAAATTTAAATATTTGGTTTAGAACTGACATTTTATAAATGTAAAAATATGACTTTGAAAGAAAAAAAAAAAAAATTTTTCTTATGAAAGGCTAAAAAACCCCCAAAATATTACTGTTAATTTTTGACTAACTTTACAAACGGCACCTCAATGTCTAACTTGTTGCACATAATTCCCACATATCTTTTATCTTGTGGTTCTTGCTCAGCTGGACTTGGGCTACAGCTACAGCGAGCTGTCTGATATCGTTCAACTGGATGGTCCTGCAGACGATTCTGACCCCGAGGAGGAAGTTCCTCTGGAAGAGAATGACTTCCTGGGTTTAATCAACGCAGAAGCCATAAAAACCCTGCAGGAAGAGAATGGAAGCAGTGACGGGCTCAGCCTCTCCTCCAGCAGCGACGAGGGACCAGATGATCTCGCTGATGTACAAGAAGAGGTGAGACGGATCAAGATGTAAAATTTGAAGCTTTATTTGTTTCCTATAGGAGAAATAAATCATTTCCCTCTGTATTACAAGGATCCTCTTAATTCTGGGGACGACGTGGTTGAGCAGGACACCCCAGATCTCTTTGACACTGAGAATGTCATCGTTTGTCAATATGACAAAGTAAGAATATTTAGTCATGATCTGCTGCCTCCTGAGCTGATCATCATTGGGGAAATCCTCTTAAATGTTCCGTCGTCTTGCAGATTCATCGCAGCAAGAATCGGTGGAAGTTTCACCTGAAGGACGGGGTGATGTGCTACAGCGGCAGGGACTACGTCTTCTCTAAAGCTGTAGGAGAAGCGGAGTGGTAACAAGAAAATAACAGTTTTGAACGGTTCAGAACAAAAAAGAGGAGAAACGTAGAAAATCCAGACCTTTTTTTATGGGCAGAGATGAGAAATGTCATGCAAAGTCGTTATATTTTTCATTAATTATCAAGGCAAGACAGAATAATTTATGCAAAATGCTACTTAATTTGCTCCCGTCTGCTGACAAATAATAATTTGTAAGTGCCTTGTTTCCTTTCGCTACAAATTATTTGTAAGTCCTTAGTTTTGAACAGAGTTAAAATGGCTACTAATTGGGAGGGACAAACTGTAATTTCCTAAAAATTAATAAAAAAATAGACATTTTGAATGGATGGGAATATAAAGACTTACTGGGAAGGGATGTCTGGATATTAGTGGGGGAGTGGGAAGAAACCATACAAGTGCAAACTGGAAAAATAATGCAATTATAAGTATTATTGTTAGAAGCTGCTAACTATGATCGTTAGTTTCTCAGCTGCAGACTAACTGCGTAGTGAGGACAAAAGACTTAAACAGAAGTGGCTGTTATTGCTCCACATTAAAGGAACACTTTGTTTCTGAATTGACGCACAATAAAAGGTTGCATGTGATAATTTAAATGATTCTATTGCAGACATAAGTAATGAACAGTAGAACTGCTGTATGTAGCTCACATCTGATGCTTCACACTAAAGACATGGTGGCGCATGTTTGAAGTAAACGGGTGTATGAACTTGTCAAAAGCCAAGTGATGGAAGGAAAGAAATGATGAAAGGCGCACAATGGATTTGGTAAAAGTAAAATTGGTTTGCTGTTGCCACTAACTGTATATTATCATACACTTTTGTGAGGAATATGATAGATACTAAATCCTCTGGGAAATCTGAGGCATCCAGTAGCTTGTTCCAATTATACAGGAAAAAAGCAAACGCATGAAATCAAAGAAGCGGAATACACAAATTTGGAAAATGTATACAAGGTGGTAGGGAGTACTACATTCATGATGAACCTATGTCAGCAATTTCCTGCAGGATCAATAAAGTTCTAATCTTATATGTACATGTAAATGCGCAAGTGTGTGGGGTGCTGCAGATTTACAAGGCTCTACTTTAATGTACAAATGAGAGTTGAACAGTCTGATGGCTTCAGAGACAAAGGACTTCCTGAGTCTGTGGAACAGGGTTAGCACAGCAATCTACCACTGAAGGAGCTCCTGCTTCATGATGGCGCTGTGCAGAGAATGGTCAGCATTGTCCATGATGGATAGCAGCTTACTGAGGGACCTTCTTGGGACTCCAGCTTTGTTCCCAACGCAGAACCAGCTTTCCTCACCAGCCTGTCGAGTCGCATCTCTCCTCTTAGTGCTGCCTCCCCAACACAAAACCGCACAGAAGAAGATGCCACAGACTGGTAGAACAGCAGAAGTTTAGATGCTGAAGGACCCGGGCCTCCTCAGGAAGTAGAGCCTGCTCTGACCCTTCGGGAGTTGTGTTCACCGACCAGTCCAGTTGGTTCTCGGTTAATTTTTTAAACATCTGCAGTTCGTTAAAGAAACAAGGATTGAACTCATTGCGACTGCGATACAAAATGTGTAAAACCAGTGAAGATGGCGTAAATTTACACGCAGGCGTCAGTAAAACTTTCAACCGCAAGGGTTTGTTAAACTTTCTTTTCTAACCCGGATCATCATCATTGGAAAGCCGACGGTACTTGCTGAAGATGACAAGGTGATAACGTGTCTGCCTGTGTGATTGTGTAATGTTAGCAAAATATCTTTTTGGACCAGTGAGTGGATTTTTCACAGGCCCCTCAATAAATTGATGCACAACTGATGTGCTTTTGAAGTCAACCGCGTTCATGATGGCTGCCACGGATTAGCCAACACCAAAATGACCAGAGCTCAGTCGATTTTTATAGATGAGCCCAAAATTTGACGTAGTAGTAGCTGAGCATCATCCCTAACATGCACCGAGTGCAACACTTCAGTAACTTTTCTAAATCTTGACATTAAAATATGTGTAACCACTGAACTGATTTAATTTAAGAACTTCCAGAAAATAATAAATTGGTAAACAATTATAAAGTGTTAACCAATTATTTATGGAGTAAACGATTCAAGATGGCTGCTAAAGCTAATAAAACTTAACCGATGCGGCTAGCACTCTGTAAGAATTAAAGATATTGATCTAAAGTTTGGTGTAGCTGCGTCATCCTCACATCAAGAGCTAACGGTGATCATTGCAACATTGAAGACTGTCATGTAATTTACAGGGCTTGACCAAAAAAAAAAAAGTCCTGAAAGGACGGTGAGTGGTATGAACTTTTTTATTTTTATTTTTTAATTAAATGTTAGACCTTTTAGTTGTGTGAATGTTCTTGAAGCATTCACTCATTTGGGATCAATTTTTCTTCCGTACGTTTTGCGGCGGCTTTCCCATTCAACAATTTTTGTGCTATTTCAATCGATCGTTTATCAAAATGTTCCACTCGTTCAGAAGGGTGCTTACTTCTGGTATTGGTGCAACTTTAGCTTTTTAAAATATTTAGCCTTTTCTGACACTTTTTTCCTTATAAAAAATGAATTGAGCTCATCTTGCATCCTTCAGATCTTTAGATCGGTTTAAAACATTTTACTGCTCCTTTCACTTTTTGTTCTGGTTCAGCTTCTTTCAGCTTCCTTGTGCAAATTAAAACTTTTTTTTTTTTTTTTAACCCCTTTTAGCCTTTTTTTTTTTTTTTTTTTTTTTTTTTTTTTTGCTCTTCAGATTCTTTCTGTTAACTACAACATTGTTGTGCTTCTAACTTTCTGCTAATTTCAGCTTGTTATGCTCCTTTTAGCTTATTTCTACACGTTTCAGCTTTTTCTGCCATTTCATCTACTATTTAGCCGTTTTATGGTAATCTTAGCTTTTTCAGCTAATTCCACATTTTTTGCACCAATTTAAACTTTTTTCAGCCTAATTCAACAAAAATGTGCTCTCCTGTCAATTTAAGCTTCTTTCTACCTTTTTAGCTACATTTCAGCTGCTTTTTTGTGTGTGCTCATTTCTGCTTCTTTCAGCAAAATTGTTCTTGTTTCTTCTGCTAATTTAAGCATGTTCTACCTGTTCAGCTAGATTTTCTTTAGCATTTTTATCTAATTTTGGCAGTTTTCAGATAATTAGGCTGAAAGTAAATTACCACAAAAATCTTGAATTAACTTCTTTATGCTAATTTCAGATTGATATCCTCCTTTCACGTTTTTTTATTTCAACTACTGTTTAGCTGTTTTTATGCTCCTTTTAGCTTTTTCAGCTAATTCCACATTTTTTTTAAAACTCATTTCAGCTTTTTCCACTTCCTTCTGATAATTTAAACTTCTTTCTGCCTTTTCAGCTACTTTCCAGCCATTTTTTTTTTTGCTAGTTTCAGAAATTTTACTAATTTTAGTGCCCATTTCTGCTCATTTAAACAATTCAGCAAATATGTTATTTCTGCTTTCTTCTGCTAATGTAGGCTTGCTCTCCCATTTCAGCTACATTTCACCATGTATTTTAGCTAATTTCAGCAGTTTTTCAGCAAGTTCTGCAATAAGCATTCACACTGAATTTTCACAGGAAATGCATTTTCTCTAGTTTTATTTCAGTTTGCATGTTTGCATATTTTATATGGATTATTCAAGAGAGGCTGACAGAATTTACACTCCTACATTTAATGCATGTGTTTGCAGCGACTATAAAAAGTAAAATAAATTAGTCTGGGCTGGTGGGGAAACAGGTTGATGGAAAGTACCAAAGGAAATGTTAAAACCAAAGCTTTGTGTTGATATTAAGGTATTTGGTTTATATAATTTAGATCCTGAGAGGGCAGGTTCAAGCCCAGGTTGTGTCAGGAAGGACATCCGGCGTAAAACGATCGCCAAATCTTTCCTGCGAGTTCGCTCGCTGTGAAGACCCCGAATAATGGGAGTTGCTGGGAGAAAAACAACTAAAACCATTCAGTAGCTAGTTGAAGGTGTGGATGAACTTAAACAACATAACGTTGAAGTAAACAAACGCACTCATTAAAATATTTATTTCTCAGTCCAAGACATTGAATTACACCTTTTACTCTGATTAAACAAAGTTTCTGCTTAAAATAAATCTCGTCTTGACGCATCAGTCTGCAGAACAAGAACAAGTAGAGTACGACTAAAACTTATTTCTGAGTTAAAACAAATTCACAAGCATTTCAATGTATACAAGTATTAAAATCTTGGCTTTATTAAAGACAAAATATTTACATAAATTACAAGACAATTTACAAGACGGCTACTTTTAACGGCTTGTAATCCTCACACAATGATTTGTTTTAAAGTTACTTGGTGCAATAGAATAGTCTAAAAAAAAAAAAAAAAAAAAATCAAGTTTGGTAAATAAAAACTTTAAGCAAAAATTACCAGACGTTTGTTCAACTTTTAAAAAATAGCTCAATAATGGCAATGCTCGTAGAAGTCGAGTTTGATGCACCAATACGTATTTATGGTTGTATTTCTTGAATATAGTATGTACTAGTGTTTCCACTGAGTGCACACCCATAGCTGACAACTAGTGGCTTCAACTCTTTCAAACTGCACCTTTTCAGGATTTAATGTTTGATTTAATTGAGTACTTTTTAGAAATTTTTTTTTATTTTATTCCTGCTCCTTACATCTGCTGCTTTGTACCTGAGCACAAATGCAAACGTGGCTTCAGGTTCAAGTTTCAGTTGAAGAAATTCTCATTTTGTGAACTAAACTGGTTTTATAAGTACAATGCAAAACACAGTCTCTCTACGTCTACTTAATTTTGAAATGCTTCAGTTAAAGCAAGTGGGAAAATGTTGCTTTTGAGTTTCCATCCTGCGCTGAAAGCAGCCCTTCATCTTAAGGTGGTAAGCATAAAAGCTGAGCGATTGAGTTTGCCCGTCGGCCACGTTGTTGGAGCAGGTCTGCTGCGATGCCAGAGTCTGTGATCTGTAGAAGCCCGAGCTGGCGGGGTGGCAGCGACTCAGCAGCCGGCACACGTCCTTCCTGAACGCTCGTGTGAAGATGGTGTACAGGAACGGGTTGCACAGGGAGTTGATGGGATAGAAAAGGATGAGCAGGATTTTGGAGTGGGACACGGTTATGAGGGGCACACACAGGGCGGCGGAGATGGCGAAAAAGGAGATGGGCGCCATGCACAGAAAGTCTGTGAAGATGAGCACGGCCATGCGTTTGGCAATCTTTGTGTCTCCGTGGCGGGTGGCGTGCTCGGGGTTGTGAACGCTGAGATACATGCACACGTAGCAGTAGCACACCACCAGGAACGCGACAACGTTGAGGATGAGCACAGCCACCACATACACTTGAGAGGCCAGAGTGTCGATGTCCATGGGCAGGCAGATGCTCACTTTGCTGTAACTGCTGACGCCCACTAGAGGGAGCAAGGCGACCAGCAGAGAGAAGGCCCAGCCTGCCCCCATCATGGCCGTCACGTGATGCATCCGCAGCCTCTTGTTGACATGCATGGCATTGGTGATGGTGTGCCAGCGTTCAAGGCTGATGACAGTCAGTGTGTACACTGAGAGCTCACTGGCAAACACGGTCAGAAACCCTGCAGTGCTGCAGCCAGGCCCCGTCTGCCAGTACGTAGCGTGGTTGTAGTATTCATGGCGGGAGTGATGGTCCATGAAGGCGATCAGCATCAGATAGAGCCCCATGCAGAGGTCTGCAAAGGCCAGGTTGCACATGAGGAATCTGGAGATGCTCAGCTTGCGGTGGCTAACGAGCAGGATGATGAGGACGGCGAGGTTTCCAAACACGGCAAACACTGTAATGATCCAGGTGAGACAGCGCAGGAAGGGGAAGCCCAGCAGGTCCTCACAGGGGTTGAAGGCATCCGGCTTTGGGGTGCACGTGACAAAGGGGCTGTTGAGGCAATCAAATTCCAGGTCTGGATACTGAAAGTTGATGTCGTTAATGAGACTCGTGGCATCATCGGTGGGCTCTCTGAAAAATACACACGTGTAACTGTTAATAAATTGTAAGAATAAAAGGCAAACTGTTTCAATGACTTGTTTCCCACTTTATTAGTGGTTTATCTTTCTCATCCAAGACACCTGATGCTTGTAGGATCAGACGTAAAGAGACAGATTGGAGGCTGCTTTTTAGCAGCTGAACAACCCATTTGCTCAAATGCACCAGACAGTTATAACATTAAAAATAAAAATTGGATAAGGTGTACTGCAAATAGCACACATCAGCAAAACGAGAGTAGCTGGTGTTTTTTAATTTTTAAATATATTTATTATTGCACTTTGCTTTCTGTGACTCTACTACTGTAGATGTTAACATGATGTCAGAGCTGCAAGATGTTTCCACAGGTGAGAAGGAGACCTTTGACTCCATCTAACATGATGAGTACCGTTTCACTAATGGACTGAATGATTTCTACTATTCATTCAGTGTCACTCCAGGTATTGCTAATTTTATTATTTTTTAAAATCACTTTATTCTTTCTAAATATGAATATTATTTCATTAGTTCTGCCATACATACATAAGTTATTGCTTTTTTTAAAGTTAAGGATTTAGCTATCAAAAACACACGCATACCCTATTATACACCCTAAATAAATATGCTTTAATGATCCATAAAAATAATTTGACTTACAATCCAGTTCCACTGAGATTACACAACTTGGTTAAGTTTTTCGAGGCACTTTCCCTTTAAAATAAATAAAGAGAATAGGTTATTTCACACAGTGTCAATAAACTAGAGAAATTACAATCCCGGCAAAAAATACAGTGTGAATGCTTATTGCAGAAGAACGTGCTGGAAAACATCTGAAATTAGCTAAAAAAAAAAATGCTGAAATGTAGTTGAAATGGAAGTACAAGCCTAGATCAGTAGGAGAAAACGGAAAGAACACACGTTTGCTGAATTAGGTTTAAATAAGCAGAAATTAGCACAAAAATTAGTAAATTTACTTAAAAAAGAGCAGAGATTAGCAAAACATAACTGCAAAGTAGCTGAAAATGCAGAAAGAAGCATAAACTACCAGGATGAGGAACAAGTTGAAATTTATAAATAAATAAATAGTGGAATTAGCTGAAAAAGCTAAATTTAGCACAAAACAGCTAAAAATTAGCTGAAATGGTAAGAAAAAACTGAAATTAGCTGAATAAAACTGAAAGAAGCATAACAAGCTGAAATTAGTAGAAAAAAGTGAATTAGGCAGAAAGTAGCAGAAATCACTACAACAGACTTGAATTTATTATAGAAAACTGCTGAAATTGGCTAAAAATGTTAAAAAGGTAGCTGAAAATGTAAAACAAGCTTAAATTAGTTGAAGAAAACGGAAAGAACATGTTTGCCCAATTAAGCTGAAAGAAGAAGAAATGAGCACAAAAAAGTGGAAATTATCTGAGAAAAGCTTAAATTAGCACCCAAAACCAGCTGAAAAAAAGCTAAAATAGCAGAAAGAAGCTGAAATTACCAGAAGGAAGTGGAGAGAGCACAATTTTGCAAAATTAGGCTGAAAAAAATTTGGAATGAGTGCAAAAAATGTTGAATTGGCTGAAAAAGATAACTAAAATTAGCATAAAAACAGCTATATAGTAACTGAAATAGCTGAAAAAGCGGAAACTTGCAGAAATAATCTGAAAGGAGCATAAACTGAAATTAGCAGAAGCAAAAGAAAAGTTAGAAGAAGCACACAAATGTTGTAGTTAGCCGGAAGAATCTGAAAGGAGCACAGCTGAAAACCCAGTTGAAAATAGCTTAAAAATGTTTAAATGTGCACAAGGAAGCTGAAAGAAGCTGAACCAGAACAAAATGTGAAAGGAGCAGTAAAAGGTTGTAAACAGATCTAAAGATCTGAAGGATGTAAAATGAGCTCAAGTCATTTTCTAAGAGGAATAAAGTGTCAGAAAAAGCTAAATATTTCAAAAAGCTAAAGTTGCACCAATACCAAAAGTCATAGCAGGATTGTTCTGAAAGAGCTGAACGTTTTGATTTATGATTTGTTGAAATAGCTTAAAAGCTGAAGGATGAGAACTGTGCCGAAAAATGTACGGAAGCAAAATGGGTCACAATAGTGTGAATGCTTCATAAACATTCACACAATTATCTAATTACCAGCCTGTTGTGCATCCATCAGACAGAACTGGTTTATGCAGATGTGAATGGATCTGCTGCATCGGCTGAAGTGCCGCTCGCTTACCTTCGTTTCCGACGCCCCGTGTGGAAGGCGCAGCAGTGGCTCGGGTACGTCAGCTCGGCCTCCAGCAGCTCGGCGAGGCTTTCTAATGGAGGGAGGCTTTTGAGAGTGAACGCAGAGCTGGCGTTCAGGGAGAGCACCTGGTTCAACCCTTTATGCGGGAGGGAAATCAGAATTGTGGAAGAAACGTCCCTGAATCCCATAAACACAGAATAAGATACATATAAGTGAGAATTAGTAAAAAAAGTAAAAAAAGAATGGTTTCAAATATGCTCCTCCACTGCCATGAGCCACTCCACAAGTCTATTTTATAAACTAAAGGGTTACAAAACCCCTTGAAGCATGGAAATAACTCTTGAGCTTTTTCACGAACAACTGCCTGACTACAATGTGCAATATATTTTTTATTTAATGCTAAATGATGTTAAAACACTTTATTTTGTAACATTACACTCATCAAAGGTAGAAAATGTCCGTGCTGGACCTCACACATGCAACGAGCCGAGCATTTCAAACATTCACGAGAGCGATAAGAGGAACTCTCTCCGCACAGAGACCTTGTGGTCTGTGTGCAACACTTTATTTTCTTGCTAATCAACATTTAGCAGTTTTTTTTTTTTGTGTGTTGGTTGTTTACAAACAGGCTGTCGCAACAATAAAAAAACATAATGAATATTAATTTAGCTTCTTGACGCAATTCTCATTTAATTACCTTATTAATGAGGTTTATTGAACATATTGAATTAATTACAGTGTTGAAAATGAAGCTGCATTATTCTGTAACTTTTTGTTTTTATACTCAAACACATTCAGATAACTATTGTGCATGATTCAAAGTCAAATGTTTCATAAATGACTAAAGACTATGTAGATTATTAAAAAGTGAACAAGTACTTTGCAATGGTGAGTTGCAAAAAACTGGATCATTTAATGTCAAACTAATATAGTTAAAAATGCTTTAGCTGTCCTGTTTAGTCTTTAAAGGATTTAGCTTTTTTTTAAATTTTATGGATCCACTAGTTTCATAATAAAAAAAAAAACATATTTTTCGGACTACACTTAAAATCATTTAATTTTCTCAAAAATTGACAGTGAGCCTTATAATCCGGTGCGCCTTATAGTCCGAAAAATACGGTAAGATTAAGATTCTGAAGCATATCATGTTGCATGCTGCAAAAAATACAACAATTTTAACACCTTTCTCTTTATTTTTGGCTAAAATAGCAACAGCTGAATGTAGCTATGGTTAGTTAAAATAGCAAAAGACTAGCTAAAGGGATTAAAATCTCAGCTAGAAGTATAAGAAACTAGTTAAAAGTAGCTAAAAATTGACATATTTTTGATAAAATAAGCAAAAATATAGTTATAGTAAAATAGTAGCTAAATGAATGATGTCTGGTTTAAGAAGCTGTCAAAGTTTCTCCTTTTTTGCTAAAAAGAGCAAAAAGCTGGGTACATGCTAAAAGTAGCAGAACAGCAGCTAAAAACCCAGAAGACAAATCCAGAGCAAGCTGAAGCAGGTTTTTAGAGAACGTTGTAGAAGGACGTGAATACATCTCGATGCGTTTCTATGGGGAAAATATTGAAGTGTAATATTTTAAGAAATAGTGCAGCTGAATATTTTGATGCATGAATGGCTAAAAAAAAAGCACAAAGTAAGCAAAAATATCTTAACTGAAAGAAATGTACAGAAAAATAAACACATTAGATCAAAGTTCATGCTCAATAATCCAGGTAAAAAATCTAAAAGTTCAGTCAGGTCATCTGGACATTTTTTTTTTTTTTGAGACGTTTCATCCTTCATCCAAAGGACTTCATCAGTCAGAGTAGCCACAACAAACTCAATCCCATAAGCAGCACATTCACATAGTGGACCAACCAGTTTGCTGGTGATAAGATGAGTCTGCCCTCTCCCCCGTCAACTCCTCTGAGGCAGACAAGGCCAAATTGATCTGCTGCTTGTGGGACTCAGTTTGTTGTGGCTCCTTGGACTGATGAAGTCCTTTGGATGAAGGACGAAACGTCTAAAAATAAAGGTCCAGATGACCTGACTGAACTTTGTTGGATTTTTTTTTTTTACCTGGATTATTGAGCATGAACTTTGATGTATGAACCACTTTGACTATGGCTGCCTCAGAGGAGTTGACGGGGGAGAGGGCGGGCCACAGAAACCATCTTATCACCAGCAAACTGGTTGGTCCACTGTGTGGGTGTACTGCTTGTGGGAATGAGTTTGTTGTGGCTCCTCAGACTGATGAAGCCCCTTTGGATGAAGGACGAAACGTATCAATAAATAAATAAATAGCTAAATAAAAAAGAAACCGTCCAGATGACTTGACTGAACTTTGCTGGAGAAACACATGAATGAATTTACACTCGAATTACAAATACATCAGCTTTAATGCGCTTAATGGGTTTTCACGCTCACCTCGAACATGGCAAATTTTCTGCTGCTTTCATAAATAAAAACAATTTATTGGGTTTTTATCTCCTCAGATATTGAAAACGCTTGATTATAGTGATTGCTCTTGCAGCCAACAATGAAACATCTGCCGTGCTTTGCTCGTGGCGAGAGTTCAAGTCAGCAGAAGCGACTCAAATCGTGGCAGATGTGAGCGCAGCTGCTGAGCCTGACCAAATTTCTGAAAGAGTCACTCCTGCCGGTGCAGACTCTGCTCTTTGAAACGCTGCACGTCTTTCCCGCTGTAAAAGTTGCAGCACGCACAGGAAGCTGGAAGCAGCTAATTTTTTAAATAAAAACTGTACTTTGTGACTTACAGGTACTTTGGACCTATGGCTCCTTCAAAAGCATCTTGGTGGATGTGACTGAGAAACTCGTTGTCTCGCAAATTTCTGAAAAACACAAGCAAGAACAAAATAAGTTGCACGTTTTAACCTCAAGCTCAAACTTAAATTTTCTGCTTGGCACACGGTTTTGAAAGAAAACTGGAGATGACACAATAATGGCTGGCGCTGCCCCCAAGGATTATTCATCTGCTTTTTGTTCTCTGAAGTTGACATTGAGGAGGATAAGCATTGTTTTTAGACTGCAGGGTGTCTGTACACATCTCATCCTCATCAACGTGCAGCATTATGGGGCAAGGCAGGAAAACAACGGGGCATCCAATCTTTTGTTTAGTCTTACATAAGGGTTGTTTACTGGTACGCTCATGCCAGATCCTGACTCCACGAGGACACACCGTACAGCTCACGTACAGTATTTGTCTTAACCATCAGCTTACAGAGTGTTGATCTTCGTCCCGTTGAACGCATGAGACTTGATTTCCTTGAAGCCGTTTCTGACCAGGTTCCTGTCAAGGACACAGATGTTATAAATATTGTTTGCTGTCAGAAACGGCTAATGCCAAGGTTAACGATCTGAACATTTAACTAGAGAAATGCTGAACTCCTCTGCTGAAGAAGCCGAAGAAGCTGAAACTGGAATGGGAAAGCTAACGGAAGCAGAGCAACAGCATAAAACTAAAAGAAACAAAATGCTGGTTAATGACTAAAAAGTTCAAAACACTATCTAAAAGCTAAAAGTATCGACACGTGTCAAAAGTTGTAAATAACAAAGGCTACTTGAAAGCTAAAAGTAGCAAAACACTAGCTAGAAGAAGAAAAGGGCTGATACTAAAAGTATCAAATGGCTAGTTACAAGATAAAGCAATAAAAAGGTAGCTAAATATAAATGAGAAGGCTAACAAAATACTGAAAGTAGCAAAAGGCTAGTGAAAAGCTGAAGTAGCTAAAAGGTATTGAAAAATATTAAAAGGCTAGCTAAAAGTATCAAAAGCCTAGCTACAAGCTTAAAGTATCAAAAGGCTAATTAAAAGCTAAAAGTATCAAAAGGCTGGCAACAAGCTAAAAATATCAAAAGGCTAGCTGGAAGCTAAATGTACCAAAGGCTAGCTAAAAACAAAGTATCAAGACTAGCTACAAGCTAAAAGTATCAAAAGACTAGCTACAAGCTAAAAGTATCAAATGACTAGCTATAAGCTAAAACTATCAAAAGGCTAGCTACATGCTAAAACTATCAAATAGATAGCTACAAGCTAAAGGCATCAAAATTCTAGCTACATGCTAAAACTATCAAAAGGCTAGCTACAAGCTAAAACTATCAAATAGATAGCTACAAGCTAAAACTATC